TTAGGTTGTAGTTAAGAAGACTTATCTTTCGACAAGATGTCAACCGACAGCTGATGATGTGCTGTTCAAATATGTGGATATGACACTCTTCAGTGCCTCTTGGTAGTCTCTGCTTGTGCGGCCAGCGACTATATTTCGGACGATAAACATGATAACTCCATCGAAGGCTGTTATTCTCATGACACCAACTGGCATTTTTAAGAATACGTACCTGATGAGTCCCAAGTAGGACAAAACAAGTGGCCTAAATCCCACAGCTTGCCAATATTCATCATTACAACTAAACTACTTATTCAATAATTCTAGTAAAACCTTCAAAAGAAAAGCGATATACGTTTGTGAATGGATGCATCTTTACTTCCTCAGTCGTTTCCAATTAACCATAGTCTAATGAATATCAAAATTCAAACACTACAAAAAAATTATTGAAACTTTAAAATTTCATACGGGAAATGAGCAACATTCTAAAGGTACTAGTACAAATAATTGTATTTAATGACAACGTTTCACACCCACATAAAGTGACATAGTGTGACCTATTTCTCAGTAGACCTGGAATACCCTAACAGGTGGCAGCCAAAAAGCTAGTGAATTTTCGACTGTTTAGTGTTCAACAAAAGTATTCAGTTTTTTCAAGGCCAGTCAGCACAGGAAATCTGATAAAATAACTTGTTGGGACCTACTGCAGTTTACGCCTCATAGCATAGATCTGTCATTCAGAGATTCTAACTTTGGTTTACTTTGACCTTGTTTCGCCCGTCACTATCAATTTTTAATTCATTGAGTAGTGGCCTATTCTCGCCTGTCAGGTTGTACCAGTCATAAGCAAGCCTATGCCTCATCTCATTAGTCTTACTGATGGGGTTCAATTATATAAGAGAGAGAATGGAAACCTGTAAGCCCATTTGGAACGTCGAAAAGGTGTGATACCGGTGGACCTGTTTGATGAGTTCAAGGTATAATGCAACTGACATTCGGGGATACTGACATCACTGCTCGGTATATGTTTCATGATAGACCCGCTTAGTGAGGTGTTAAAATCAGTAATGGCAAACAACTTAGGTACGGTACATACATGCAATCATCATAATCATATCTAGATATAGGAATGTGAGACAGAAATCAGTGTGAATGGTATTTAACAGTAAAATAATCCAGCATAAAATATTTTTTATTCAAGAAGAGATTTCATAATTAGCTGAATGTGAAACTTGAACATAGCATTATATGATAATTCAGTCGGACTCGAAAATACACTGCGATACAGTGGCGTATCTCCCAGCTTTGTGGCCACATTACAAACTGCTTTCAAAGAATTCGAGCAGTGTTAAATGCGACGAACTAGGCAAATTCACAACCTACCCACTGACGATAAGTTTGTGTGCTTAGTTCAGGTCCACAGAGGTTCATTTGTAAACCGAATAACTTAGTGCTAATGCCTATGACTTCAATACTAATTGACTCATGCCCTGATAGCAGAAAGAAAAACAGTTTCTTCATGATTGCAGAAACACCTTCCAAAAACTATTGGAAGCACGAAACCTAGGTCCAGGGTTTCCTATCAGTTAACTGCCAACATCTAGTTCAGTACCAGAACTGCCTTAGTTTGACCCTTTTCTATTGCCAAGTATTAATAATAATAATATAATAATAATATTAATAATAATCAATAATCAAGTTCAAAGAAGTGCACTAACTTGGCTATTATAGATAAAACTCTTACCATAGGTCTTTGTCTGCATTTATCTAAGCAGAATAATTAAGATCTGATAAAATAATTTCTTTAAACTGACTGCGATTACACTTCAAACACAAACTATAACTTCATAATTTGAGAGCTTTTTCGAGTGAAATTTGACTTCAAAGTAGCTAGCCTGTTCTCTTCGAACTGAACTCTAAGTGTTTGTTAAAAATAAGAAAAACTTCCGAAATATTTGCGCCATATATCACCTCATCTAAGTAAACATTTTGGAACAAAGGATGGACATACGTTCACTGGCAGCGGTCTGCTTGAACTCTGGGCTATCGTTTTCTATAATCGAATATATTGCATGTAATTTCTTATTTCTATATTGTTTTAATCGTTTAATTATGTCAGCCAATCGTATTGTATATTCTCGCGCGTTTTTAAAATCATTACAACCTATCGCTTCGCAAGTTGATAGGAAATTTAAGAAGAAGCACCACGGTGGATGGCAACGAGCTCTGAAGCGTATGACCATAGATCAAATGACTATTCCGGAAATACTTAGCACAAACTGCAGGTCGTTGCCGAATAAAGTTGATTACCTTCAGTCACTCTTGTCCACAAATGTTTATCGAAACACGGGTGTAATAATGCTGCAGGAAACATGGCTTCATAATCTGTATGATGATGACTTAGTCTGCTTAGATGGTTTCAAATTATTTCGACAAGATCGAAGCTTTTCGAAGAAGAAATGTGGTGGTGGTGTAGCAACATTTATTAGTACTAACTGGTCGTCCTCCAACTATGTATGCTTCTGCTTCTCTAACGAAAAAATTGAGTGCATTACCATCAAATGTCGTCCCAAACATTTGAGCAAATACATATATATCACAAACATGTATGTCACACCTGACTGCAGTTTCTCAGATTTGTCAACTTTTGCTGATAAATTCACTGAATTTGCTGCTCCGGTTCTGGGAAACTCCTTGTCTATTGTCTGTGGTGATTTTAACTCATGTGACTACAGTTTTCTATTATCATTGGGTCATAAAAATATGGTTAACTTTTCCACTCGTCTTGACAACACCTTAGACTTTGCATTTACAAATGAACCTGGCATATATGAAGCCCGTAAACGGGCTCCACTGCTTAATTCCGACCACTGTATCGTTCGTGTTTTGCCTAAAGTGTACGGAAAATTATACAAGAAAGCTTTTGCATACCTTTCAAGGAAAGTTCAATACAGATGCTATTCACAAGAAAATATATTACGTTTGAGAAGCATGCTTATAGAAACGGACTGGGATATATTTGCTGATGAAGTTTTAGACAACACTATCATCAGTGTCACAAGCTATCTCAGATTCTGTCTCGATATCTGCTGCCCTACTGAAACAATTTACATGAGATTTGACAGACTTTCCTCTCCTCATCTCAAGAGGCTTCGGAGAGAAAAGGAAAGGTTGTATAAGGCGAGAGATCACCCTGGCGTTAAAAGGCTTAACTGCCTAATTAAGTCTGAAATACAACGTCTGAATACTATATACAACGAGTTCTTATCGTGTAAGAACTCTTCCAATATATGGAAATTATTTAAAGAGCTTACTGGTAAAAAACAGATGACAACACAAACTCGTTCGGATGTCTGCGCGTTAAACAAGTCATTTATACGTCGGCAAGCTAATTTCACCCTTCCTAATGTGCAAAATCAAGTGGATAGCTGCTTTCCAGGTTTCAATACAAATGATGTATTTAAATGTCTAAAGTCTTTGAATCCCTCCCAAAGCTTAGGTCCTGATGGTGTTTCTAGTATCATATTTAGAAAATGTGCAGATATTTTGTGTCATCCACTTACAGATATCTTCAATGTATCGTTCTCTAAAAACATAATACCCACTGCTTGGAAGCAGATAAAAATTGTACCTGTGCCTAAGCCATCTTCTGGATCAGATGTTACTTTTCGACCCATCGCTATAACTTCCCCTTTTCTGAAGACAATGGAGAAATTACTTCTGCTTGTGATTGAGCCTTCATTGATGGCCTTCAGAGATCCAAAACAGTTTGCTTACAAACACCGGAGGAGTACTTTAGATGCAGCCGCTGTCTTGCATCATAATATTGTTTCTAGTCTCGACAAAGGTGTTAAGTATGTCCGTTGTGCCTTTTTGGATTACTCATCAGCCTTTGACTCTGTTCCTAGACCACTTTTGTTAAATAAGCTTGCCATAGCTCACACTGATCCATGGGTTACAAAATGGCTGCATTCTTATTTTTCTGAAAGGAAACAGTACACTATTCATAAAGGATGCGCTCCACTTCATTGCTTACTGAAGCTGGTGTGCCTCAAGGTGCTGTACTTTCTCCTTTTCTGTTTTCCTTTTTTTGCACGATTTGCCTTATTCTGTTGAAACTAATTTTATCAAGTATGCTGACGACCTGACGATTTCTATTCCAGTAAACTCTTCTTTGGATTGCTCGAAATTAAATGAATTCTTGTCTGAAGTTGGTAAATGGTCTCAAACTAAACCCCTCTAAATGTCAGACCGTTAATTTTAGCCTCAGGTGTAAACAAGACTTATGTGAGCTGCTTAAATCTCATGACGCCTGCTGCATCAATGGTATTTCTGCAGAAAGTAAATCGAGTGTGAACTATCTTGGGCTGCGTTTTACTTCTGACCTTTGTTGGTCGTCCCATATTTTATTGACTTGTAAAAAAATCTTTCGTTTAACTTATTACGTAAAGAAATTGAGGCTTTCTGGTATAACTCAACTGCTTCTTTTACAATTTATTAATTCCTGCATTTTACCTATTCTTCTATATTGTTCCTCATTAATCTTTCCTGGTCTTCTTAAAAAGGACTATGTTATGTTGCGTAGGGCTTTGAAGATCGTCAGCAGGGTGAGTGGTGTGTCTCTGGCTCAACTGATTAACACTGTAGTTGATCAACACATAAATTCCTGCAAGCAACTAGCTACAGAAATTTTAACTGACAGTGAGCATCCACTTCATTCACAGCTCTCTCCATGTATCTCCTCAGGGAGGACAAGGAGAAACTACATAAGACTGTATGCTCGTACAGCTAAGTATAAGAACTCGACTGTACCTTACCTTGCACGCATATTTTGTGAGGAAAAAAGTGTTAGAACAGAAATCACACATCAACTTTGTGACAGTTAAAAATCTCATTTCAATAATTTAACTTACAATGCAAAATTTTCTCGTTTTTAATATTCTTCACATAACTTTAAAAAAAGGCTGCAAAGTAGTATGTATATACTTATATTTTGTTGTTATTGCAATATATATTACGCTGAGAATTCCAAATTGTACCACAAATTGTTTGGAATAAAGTGAATTATTATTATTATTATCTGCATGATGAATACACTCATTCATATTTAATGCAATAAAGTCAGAATGTATTTCATATGTGAAGTTGTCAAAGTCCACTTTTCAAGCCTCACCATAAACAAAAAATATGTGTCTATTATATATTCATATTTAGAAAAATTGTTAAACACATATCGCATTTTACACAAATAATGATTTCATTTTATATAGTTGTTATAAATTTCCTGAATATAATAAAGTTCTGTAAAACAAGTGAAGACAAGATATTTCATCCTCTTTCTGATGAACTGATCGAGTATATTAACACGCATGTGAGTTGAATTTCAGATATACTTAAATGGTGACATATCTGATATCATTTTACGTTCAGTGTGTTCAGAGATGCAAGTTTTGTATGGACTGTTGATGGATTTCCATCTGTCCAGTAACAGCCCCTGCTGTTTCTGTACTCATCAATACTCTGATTCATTGTGTTAGAACGTTTCATTAACAAGCAATAAGGATACCATTCTATCTTATGCAACTTGATTTCGATTACCATGAGAAAATATAGTTGAATAGATAGTGAGTGTGATGGTAATGACAAATATCTCTCATGAAAATGAAAAGCAAGCTAAATGTTGAATTTACAAATGATTAAAAACAGTAACTTGTGACTCACTTGATAGAGTACAGAGTAGGTGACCTAAAGGTCATCAGGTGGAATACAACGTTTGAACTTCAACACATCTCATACTTTTTACACCAAGACCAGTTTACTTAGAAAAAAATATCGCATTTGGCCGAATTACTAATTTCTAGCAGACTTTCTATCCACTCGTATAAACACTCCATTATGAAGTAGGTGTGTGGCAACCCTTGTCTCTGAAGGATGGTTTCAACTAACAACTTAGTTAATGGATCTCAGACTACCTATTTAGAATGCACAATTCGTTTCATATTCCGATTAATTTTTATGGACATATCTTCAACCTAATTGTTTTGAAAAATCTCCCAATCATAAAACATTATCGTTAAGGTGTATTCTTTGAGTACTTAAGGGGTTGAAACTGTACTTAATATACTCAGACTCAAAAGGAATCCACCCCCATTCCATAAATTCGACTGAAGGTTGACAGCATAAGCCTCTTAACAGTTACTGAGTTACTTGTATAATGTTTTATAAATGAAATATATCTGTAAAATCCCAATGGGGGTAAAATGTTTGTCTAAGAGACAAGTTTCAAAGCACTTCATAATGATTCGTTGAATATGAATGTATCGTTCGATTTCATACTTCAGCCAAATGCTGGATGGAAAGCAGGAAAGACAAGTCGATTCAGTACAATTAATGATGCTTATTTAATGATGGGAGCTCTATTTGAAGATTCAAGCCAAAAGCGAAGTCTCGTCCAACCATCAACCACAATGACAATGATATTGAATTGCCAAAATCTTTTGATGCACGTAAACATTGGAGACATTGTTCTAGTATCAAAACGATTCGTGATCAGTCTGCATGTGGTTCATGCTGGGTAATACATATGTATATATAATTATCAAATATTTCATTTTATGTGAATGATATTTATGTTTAATTGTCAGTAATTTATGACTTCAGTTTGAAAGAGACTACGCTATTGAATTATTCCATCTGATGAAAACAGACATAACTATGAAATTCTGTGCATAACTCAAATATTCAGTAGGAAAAAGAACTATCGTATGTTTAAAGAACTCAGTTTTGGTGCATAAAATTAACCATTTATGCCATAATCGCGTAAAGTGATACATAAGTTATCCTGTATAGCTTATTCAATCAAATGATGACAAGTTATGTTTAATACATTGAGAGGAAAATTCACAGTGAATAATTTTTGTTCTTGATTGAAAGTAGGTGATGTACTAAATCTTATCTCCATCAAGTATTTATTCATTTAAGTAGAAAAACAACAGCCATTCCATACAATATTGATTAAATGAGACCCAAAATAACCTCAAACGGGATGTCTACATTTATTTAGAAGATTTTAGTCTGTGTAGAGAGTTAATACTGCAAGGTATTATGAAATTATGATCTCTTATCAGTACCAAATTTATTAATGGTTTGCATTTATTTCAGTACTATATTTTTCCTCCACATAGTTATTTGATGACAAACCTATGATATATCGTTTTTTACAAATCGCGAAATGAATTCTGCATCCATATTTACTGGATTTAATGATTAGCATGAGAAATCTTCATAAATGTAGAATGTATATCTTTGTTTAATGGATTTCGTAGAATCATTACTTACAAGTATACATATAGCGTACAAAAGTTTTAGTAGCTAGAATTTCGGTACAGTATTTACCAAGTAAACATACCATCAGGTATAGTCCACGGTAACCACTGATTCCAGAGTTTCGTAGTTTTCATTATGTTGGACAAAATTGCATTTCTTTCAACACATTATAGCTTGAAAAATACAAAACATATCTGCTAATGAGTTTTTCATTCAACTTAGTATACTGAAGCCAAACTCATCACAGATCTAGAAGGGTAACAGTTTACTAGTAATTTTGTAAAGATGATGAATTCTTCTAACTATATCGTCATTGTATCACCTAGGAGAATCCCAGTTATCTGCAATAATTTATAAAATCATCGTTTTTTCGAAATAGTTAGATGCAGGTGGTGAGATGTGACACAAAATAAATTTTCTGCCGCAGATGATATTCTAAATGTGCTATTCAAATGTTATTTGTTGATTAGGCTACACTGAGTACCATCTAACACATTCACTGTTGCATTATCCCACTATTTTTTCATGTAGGCTTTTGGTGCCGTGGAAGCAATGAGTGACCGCATCTGCATTCATTCCAGCAGTTACAAATCTGTGGAATTGAGTGCTGTTAATCTCTTGAGCTGTTGTACAAGATGCGGTTTTGGTTGTAGAGGTGGTATTCCTGGATTTGCGTGGGACTATTGGAAAGATGAGGGTATTGTAACCGGTGGATCGAATAAAACGCATACAGGATGTCAACCATATCCATTCCCAGAATGTGTTCATCATTCAGCTGAACACTTGGATCCATCATGCGAAACTGAAAGCTTTTCTACTCCTGAGTGTCAACATTATTGTCAAAATGACTATCAAATATCCTATGAAGATGATAAATTTTATGGTAAGCAGTATTAGTTAACTGTGTAATCTTATGCTAGATTTTATGTCACACAATCGACATGACTTCCTTTCATTAAATGAGAACTTCATTTGTCGTCGAAATCGGATATATATATATATATATATATATATATATATATATATATATATATATATATATATATATATGTTGGATTGCTCGTTTCGATGACAGCTAGTCTGAAAAACACATGTTCAAATTATCAAAGCTTTCGATCCGTCCAAACAACAGTTTACAATAAATACCTAAGTCATTAAATTCCTTAACGGATAACTAGATAGGTCGTTTTGCAGTTGAGTGTCTCAACAACTGAGATATGTATCAGGAAAAGTGGGGAAATGTCCATGACAGATATTATAACGTGGAAATGGAATGACTTTCCTTACATTTCCTTTTCAATTCTAGATGAAAGCTTTCGTTTGCTGCAGACATTGCTCATTCGATCGAAAAGCTCGATACTTAAAAAGCACATTCTACTAGATATAGGACGATTGTCCGCTGCTTGGAGAAAGATTTTAGTTCATTTCCCTGCACTTGATCCTTGATAAACTATGCAGTCAGTGGAACGTTGACCAAGCTTTGTTGAAAGCGAAACTGTAGGTTTTCCTGCAAGCTGCGTAATGCAAAAAGTAAGGTGAGATCTTGAGGTCCACAATATCACTTTGGTGCCACACCTAAGAAGAGGCGTTTATATTTGGATGAGGTTGTGAAGTAAGTGACAAAGTGCATTGTTAGGCTGCATATAACACACGCCATACTAAGATAAGCTACGGCTTTAGAATTTTCATCCCTGGAGTCATCGTAGAGTAAGAGGCTAGTTGTTAGCGACGTACAAAATCGTGAGCAACCGAAGTCACTCATGAAAGTCAGTGCTACCTGAGTATCACTGTACTAATCATCCGTAGAACATGAAACGAGTTACCAACCGAAGAGTAGAAACATTCACTGAGACAGATACATTTGCATAACTCTTCAGCAGTAAGCTTCTCATGAAAATCACGATTACTTCTTAGGTATTCACAACCCGTAAGTTGAACATGAACGAGAAAAATAGGTAAATCTGACTGAAAATATTGTTTACAAGGAAATTTATTATTCTTTTATCGGTGATCTTTAGAATTATATCATTAAATTAGTAGGGATTAAAATACGTGTCAGCTTCACTACGGAGCACGCAAATCTTTGAATATATACTAAGGGAACTATCTCACCAACTACTGACTGATTATTTGAATAAAATTTAACAAATATTTATCAAAATTAGATTTTTCGTAGTTCATTGTATTAACTGGAAAGTAATCTGTCAACCATTTTATAAGTTAAGAACTGCTCCTCTTTTTTATACAGTTCATATGTGAAATGTCATGAATATTGAGGTTCATATTCAGTGAATCTGTTACGTAGGTACATTTTAGACAAGACCCATTAAGGAAGACGAGGAAGTAAGATGAAGATGATTAACTTTCAAAAATTCATCAAGCTGATACATGTGTTACATCTGACATCATGGTATTTCTGATCTAGAACAAATTTATTGAGAAGCATTGAAAATGTAAACAAAGTTGGAGTCATGTGAGTTTAGGTATATGATGGATGTCATGATTAGGGAAAGCGTGAAGAAAAAGAATTATAGATAGTTGAAATCACGCCGCACATTTTACTTGAAGTACAGACAGTCGAAAGCTATTCATCTTATAAAACCACCAAGTGGAAATATATGCATAAGATCTCATCAAATATGCTTACTTTAAGATTATATTACAGCTTACTTATAGAAGCAGATGGAAACGTTATAAACTTTCTGTGCACTCCTCAAATGCATCAGCATTCCCTTAGATATTTAAGCCTTTCAAAAGTTGGGTTAAACAGAGTTAAGTGTTTGATGCCAGTTGGTAAGTTGCTATTCACCAATAAGACCTGTCTGGAACTGTAAAGAAACTCCTTGCCGTTTCATGTTCACCAGTAAATGTCGAAATCATCAAGCAACAAATAGCAGCTAATGTGAGAAATTTGATGCTTACGAATAATCACCGTGATTTATGAATCATTGCAACCTTACCAATAAAAGAAAAACTAATCTACTAACACTCAGCAGTACCAAAGAACAATTCATGATTCCTGTGGAACTAACTATCAATGTTTCTTCACACTTCTACGTATAATTTATCACAGATTTTCTCTCATTTTTTCATCCTGTAGGCAAAACTTCATATAATGTGGCTAGTGAAGAAGGTTCAATTATGAAAGAAATTCTTTTAAATGGTCCCGTTGAAGGTGCATTTTTTGTTTATGAAGACTTTCTTAACTATAAGTCTGGTGTCTATAGACATGTAACTGGTTCTTTCTTAGGTGGACATGCTGTACGTATACTTGGCTGGGGTGTACACAAGAATAAAATCCCATATTGGTTATGTGCCAATTCATGGAATGATGGTTGGGGTGATAAAGGTTATTTTAAAATTTTAAGAGGTAAAGATGAATGTGGAATTGAATCAAATGTAGTGGCTGGCCTACCAGTGAAATACAGCTTATGAGATTTGTACACATTGATCACTTTGAATAATCTTTCCACTTGAAATTCTTATCAATAAGAAATCCTTCTGTCAAATAGTTGCATTTTCAAAGTGGTGTTTTTGTATGGTATTTGTAAGTGAGATGTAAGACATTTGTTTATAACCTTCAATACTGATTGACGAATATAACACCATCATAGTGGATATTAGTGTTCTTGAAAAGACTCAAAGCCAAAACCTATGGATTTGAAGACTGAAGCGTTAACTTATATGCTGGTCATTGATGAAAGTGCTCATCATGAGAAAGAGTGACAAAGAAGAGTAGATTATATTTCTCCCTTACTATTGATTTACACCACAGAATAGGTTGAATTGTGACTCTCTTTAACATGTATCTTAATGTAAAGAGTGATACATGAATTCAGTCAATTATATCCGCTGATGCAGAAAGACAAAATTCATGGATTGGCTTATGAACTACGGTACGTTTCTAAAGTTGATCACATTAGGCAAATATACGGCATTGTTAGGATTCTCATAAATTCGTCCATAATCTTTTTCCATTTTACAAAAAACAGTTTTGAAACTGAAATTGTTTTTGTCTGGCTCACATCGCCGCTGTCAATAACAAGAAGAACCCTCTAATCTACAGTTTTCAATGTAGTCAGTTAGGCAGAACATGCATTTACCTTTAGACAGTTTAACACTTCTAGAAGTGATATCATCACAGCGACTCAAAGTAGCTGAATGATGATAGACAATTGTCACTAATCGACACTTAACACTTTCTACGGCATTATTAAACATAAATATTGTACAATTTCATTCTCACTATGAGAAGTAAGACGAACAGTAACTCCCCAGGTCATTTTGATATTTCTCAGTGTCATGTTATGAGGGTTTATGGTTGAAACTAGTCCTCCACTATCGCGAATTGTAACGTTATGCATCGAAGTGCCGAAAAACGAGATGTAATACTGAGTGAAATGAGTAGTTAGGAGACACTGATGCTGATCTGCAGATTTACTTTAGTTACTTATATGGTCAACAGACTTCAGTGTTAATTCACTTCATCGTCAACATTTAAGGATTCTCGTCTCATGAATGAAAAGACAATACGAATGAAGATTATTCTTTTCAATACAATGCTTTTCAGTTTCTATGGTTGTAAAGTGGAATTATTCAATACTATACAGGTCAAAGTTGCAATCAACGCATCTTTCAAGGTGGATTGTGAATTGGGAACTATAAGCATGTCAGTTTTCAATTTGTTAATGATTGGCGAACGTGCATACATATAATTAATATGATGGAGAATTCAGTATGACGGTAGATGGTGTCAAATGAAACACAAACAGTCGTAGCACAGGGGTTAGAAGAATAAGAAAAAAAAGGTGAAAAAACAATTAGAACAAATTTTAAATTATCAACCAATAAAGTTTTGCAGGGAGAACGTTTCATAATAAAGATATATTATTCGAATATACCTGAGGTTTAGTGAGTCACGATATTTCCATCGACATTCGAACCCTGCACCCTTCTCTACAAACACCTGAGCATTATCCACTAGTCTCCCGAGTCTTGATGGTCACTTGGTGCCCAACCTATTAGCGTGGATAAAATAGAGTAGATAATAAATAGCACGCAGTCGATGATAATTTCATTTGATTATAATTTGGGAACTACTCAGTATTTCCGTAATAATTTTCTCTCAGAGGGAGTGTGTAAGTCATGCGTGCAGTAGATACATATATGCCTCAGGGATAAATGCTATCAATAAGAATACCTAAACATTAAAGCTCACCATATTCACAGACTAAGGAGTTCCATATCTAACTCATACTTACTTCAGTTTATTTCCGAGCATAAATTACATGTACTTGCTGTTGAATTAGTGGAACAAGAGAGACACCTGAATGTCACACTGTCAGGGATATTTTCTTCCCATAATATTCATTTCATTAATTTTCCATGAGCCCCATGGGACTGTTTCTCTATATTTTCTTCCCAGAATGCAATTAGCATGCATATACAACAGGTTTCATTCTTAGTGTTCGTAGACTCCAAATAAGAAAAGATCCCATTGAGCGAATGAAAAACAGTGAAGTGAAAGTGTCCTCTTCCACGACCTGTTTTCAGCACTTGAATATTTGTACTAATCAAAACAAGGAATAAGCAGATGAGTCTGTGATTGGGTGTTAGGTCAACATTAGGCCACCAAAACAGAATTTTCCAGCGTGAAATAATGAGTCGTTTCTAGACGTAGAAAGGGACTGAGTAATCATGCAGTGAGTGAGGAAAATGTGCAGTCGATCACAATGATGACCAATATGTTAAAAAAAACCAATCATATTGATCATAATCAATAACCGGAGTCGCGTATAATGAGAATTTTAGCGCAAGATTGGTTAGTAAGCCTTAAGTAAGAAGAATAAAAATAATCAGTTAATGAGAATGGAAGTGCCGCTTGTGTACACAGTGCTCGCACCTTAATGGCTGGAATGCCACCACCTCTGCTGTATACAAACGACGGATCTACACTCCCTTTACGATGATTTGCTTGGCTTTGTATAGGAATTCGAAAAAAGATTGTTAGGAAGTAACATGACCAGGGTTGAACAAATTTTCGAAGATGAATTTACTGCCTGAATTGCATTCTTCACTCGGCAGACAAGTAGCATGATGCTTGGAGATGCCTTCGGAAAGACTGTACCCTGTGCAAACTGCATTACCTGCTTCACAAGAGCAAGTAAACTGACTGACATAAATGAATGTGGCCCAAAATGACAATTTGTCCTCCAATTTCCTCATTTCAAATGATGAAGGTATCAGCCATATATTTTTTGCATAATTCGAAATGATCGGTAAATGAGCTCAGTACACTGTTTTCAAAATTAGGTATGAAGCAGTTTGCTAAAAGAAGACACATCGGTGACCCCATGGTTACTCCATCCTTTTGTTGATAAAATCCATTTCCAGATTTGAATTGCGCATTGAAAGTGTATTGCAGAGGCAATTCCTTTAGATGCTGAATTGGCACACCGACTAAATCGTCAGTTTAAATGTAGTGAAATAGGAAAAAAGAATCTGAAAGTGGAAAGTTTGTGAAGAACAAAGTAATGTCCAAAGAGATCATTAACTTCTACATACAATGAAGTCACTTATTGCATTGAGAAAAGCAAATGATATGAAGTGTACCTAATAATCTGACTTCTCACTGGTTGAAGAATTTTAGTCAGCCACTTTTAGTATGAGGATTTATTCAGATCCAAAAGTGAGTGGAGAGGAGTATCCGTCTTGTGTGCTTTCAGTAACGTTTAATTACGTACACTAATCTCCTGCTTCCCAGATCGAATCGAATTGATTTCAACAATGAGCATCATTTTCAATCAGTTCACATTAACATATTTTCAGAAATTCAAGCAGTTCAACATTTCCTAATTTGAAATCCTTATTCTTTATTCGAATATGACCGGAACGTGATTAAATTTTACATACGTCAATCAACAAGAGATTTCAAAGTCTGTACCACATCAAACAAAACCGTGGACAGAAATTCCTCTACAGAGAATGATTACTGTAATTCAATAAAACCAGTGATTTAGATCAACCTACTGATCATCTGCAAGACTCTTGAAAATGTTAAGTCACCTCTGACGTCTTAAAAATAGAAGGGACACAAAGACATATTTTCAAAGTGTTTCGTTCTCTGAGGTGCATTGTTTAATCGTGGTGCTTTCGTAGTCATTTGATACGACATCATCAGCGTAAGATTTAGAATGAAGTGAGTGATAAGCTTCTCTGCATTTTATTTAGTAGCTTGTCCTGATGGCCTTGTGTGTGATCGGCTGTCTCTTCCATGATCATGTCATTGTCTCCACGTCAGTTTTGATTCGTAGTCTTGATGAATTGAAATGTGATCGCCTTTTTTTCTTATTGGTTGGTAGATTGAGTCAATTTCAATATGTATGTTGATTGCTGATTCACATGAATAACAAGCTTCTAAACATTCTGCGGCATTCTTCGAGTTTTACTTCCTCTATCCAGGATTTTCATATTTTCTCAGTTAAATTCATGCCCACAGTTGTATGTATCCATTGATATGAGTGAAGATATGATGTTCATACTGCTCTACGTGCCCTTCGCAACAACGTACCTAGCTGTCTACCTACAATTAGGTAACACGAAAACGTATCAATCTCTGGTCGTTACATTTTAGTGTCAGAGGTGAGATCCGAATCGCTCACCGTCAGACCGACGTGCACTCAACAATAGCCATCCACTCGAATGTAACTTGCACCAGCTTCACACACCACGCCTAGCCTCTAACTCATTCAGTTACATCCCGGCACCGAGGACACTGCCTCTAAAGAAGTAGGAGTAGTGTAACGCATTCGAAATATTACTTGTTCACTTCCAGCTTCGATTTCTAGACTGCCTCACCTATTCGTTGTCAAGCTCTACCGTATGTCAGTTACCCTTTATTATTCAATTTAATTACAAACTGTGTACTTGTTGAGTCGTCTATAGATGGAATGAGTCAGAGAAATGCTGATCAAACATATTCGACGAATAAAAATAAATGATAAGCTTGATAGTGATTGTACAATTTTATCTGCAAAGATCTTAATAGTTGATGGCATACATCAGGCAGTATTGATGATTCAGGCAGGTGCAGTGAAACAGTTCCGTGACTGAAGAACATCGTGTCAGTATGTCGATTGTATAGCCATTTGTGAAACAGTAGAACCACAGATATAATTTGGGCTTCATAATTTCATAAATATTATCTGGTGCCGAATAACATGCTGTCTGACAAATAGACTTGTCAACTGATATTGGAATGTTTTATTACATGTATGACTTCCTGTCTGTGACCACCAACTGAGGCCATGTGCATCTTTTTTGCACAGGTTGATGACGGGAGCAACGCATATAAACGAGCTTTACAGTGCCTAATTCAAAGAAAACCTCAGGAAAAGCGGAAGCGATCTCCGGTGAGACTGACGCACACATATGCGTTGACAACAATGTATAGTCTCATCAAACTAATATGAGTTTGTGCAGCACAAACGATCATGTCATATCCCATTGTGTTTACCAGTTTATATGTGCGTTTGGTTACGCATACTCAAAGTGGCGTGATTGAGTCATGCAGTTGAAGGTGGGATAACATGTACCTAAATGGCTTCATAAACATATAG